ATATAAAAATTTATCTTTAAATTATTTGTTATATCTGCAAATCATTTTAAATATTAAACTTTAAAATAATCTAAACATTAAAATTTAAAGGTTAAATACCTTTTTTGGTCCTTCTATTATTGAGAAAAAACCTTTTTTTTCTCTATATTGAAAAAATCTCTTTTTTAGTCTTTAAATTTTAAAATCCGATCTCTTTTTTGTCCATTCATTAAATTTTTATGAAATTTCTTGATTATTTTTTATATAAATAATATAATATATTACATGAAAATTACATGTACAAAATTATAATCAATGTAAGCATTTCATGTAAATATTTTATCTACATGTACAAATTAAAAATTGAATTAATTAATTAATTAAATGAGTTTAATTGGCTTTATTTTCTTCCTTTTCTTCTTTCTTCATCTTCTTTCTCCTCATCCTTATCCTCGGCCTTATCCTCATCCTTGGCATCATGGCATCATGTAATCACCATTCTCTTCCCCTCCCCTTCGTCATCCTGGGTTAGGGACCTAGTTGTTGGCACCCGCGCGAGGAACCTTTTGGGTTCCTCGGTTCAACCCTTTGTTTTTTATTCTTTTTGAATGTATCCATATTCCATAATGGAGTTGAATGAAACCAAAGTTTCATATTTGTTTTTGAATTAGAGAAGTTAAGTTATAGGTTGATTATGAAACCCAAATTGTATTTGATAAGTGGCTTTGAAATTGTAAGGAATAGATTCATATTGTTATGTTCATGTTGCTATAAGCTTTATAACTTGATTCATTCATTACTTAGGTTTAATAGGAAAAAATGGTTGAAAATCTGTAAAGAGAAAGATTGTTTTGCAAAGAAGAAGTTAAGATTGACAGTATTAATAAATTACTTTAATTATTAATTAATTTTTATTTTTACTAATGAAAATGGTTTTATAAAAATAATTTTATGAATTCTCAATTATATCTGATTAATCTCATATGTAAAGAATTAATTATAAATGAGAAACAAGACTTTTGAAAGAAAGAAGATGATATCTAGGGAGGAATAGGAAAGAAATTGAAATAACAAAGAAAGAAAGATTGCAAAATGTGGATCCCATCAATTACTTTTTTTTTTTCACGCGAAAAAAGTGACATGAAAGGGTTTATTAAGTCAACATAAGCATTTTTACATAAAGGAATATCCACATCAACAATTCTCCATTAATATAACTTGTCATGTGAACAAAAATTAATGAAGAGATTAAAAATTGATCAAATTTTAAAATTTAAGGATTAAAAAAAAAAGATTTTTCTAGTATAAAGATAAAAACAATTTAATAATAAAAGGACAAAAAGGACATTTAACCAAATCTAAAACATATAAACCTAAAATTTTAAATATTAAATTTAAAAATTTTAATTACTTGAGTTAACTCACAATAAATAAGGATAAAAATAAATTTGGATTGTTAAAATTAAAGATTAAATAATAAATTTAATTTTAAAAAAATCTATTGAAATGTCACATCAATAAACCTGTGCTGTCCAGCTAGAGCGGTCGGTCGCGCTACTTTTTTCCAACCACGACTGGTGGCTTGTGTTGTACGTTAATTTCATGTCATGCTTGTGGGAAAAGAGTAACGAGAATCTTGTAGAAGGTACATGAATTGTCTGGTGATAATGGTTGGGTGCAATTGGCATCGATTTTTTTCTTTTTAAACGTAATTTATTAATGTGTTCTTTTCATTTATATTTTTTTGAGTTTTTTTTTTATTTTGAATTGAATTATATAATAAAAAATA